CTTAACAGCTCTTCTACATAAATAAATTTCATATAAGTCACATTTTTCTGTAAGAAAATGTAATTAATTTTAGTTAATATTTAACTGATATGCATGACCTATGTATAATCTGGACTCTGCATTTTATTTGTTGCAGATAATATCGAGTATGACTCCGAAACTTCAGGGCTAGGACCAGACACACACACACACGTGTTATATAATTGATTCTTAGAACCAGATATACGAATGAATGAAGAATACATAAATGCATGCAAAAACGTATGCGGAGGTACTGCGCACATGCAAAATATAGGTTTCTCGGTGGATTAAAGGCTGTGCAATGTCAACGGCTATATATTTTATGGGTATCACACCCATAATTCAATATAAATAAAAGAATAAATTAGTGGCAATTCAATAAAAAGTCTGTAATCCCACTAGAACTTACATAGCACGCATTACATAAACGTGAATTACAAAATAATATTTTTGTAAAAGAAAGTTCAAAACTTGGGTACATAGACTGCCTCCCATTTTGAAGTTTTATTATAGGATTTGACGTGAAAAACGGAGTACCGGCTATCGACTACATAATGCTTTTTTCCTTCTTTTTAGTTGGGATTGTGACCGGCAGTGTAAGATAAACTCACACAAGCGAAGTTTTTGAAAAAAAAAATCAAAAAGATTAAAAAAAATGTTTATTTTACATTTCCCTATTGGTGCATGAGTGTACAACTATTCAGGGGTAGAAGTCATAATATAGGTTGAACGTACAGCCATGATGCAGCTCACCATATAGTACACAATTATTTAAAAAACGGCCGGATCCTTTTCCACGTGTGTGTGACCGTTCATCGTATATCATACGGTTAGTTTTCATTAGGTGCTATATATATTTACTTTTAAATTTAAAATTTAAAATAATTTATGACATCACAATATACAATAAACGGTCATGATTATGAAATCTCTGAAATTCCTAAAAAAAATGATCCGATAATGATCCTTTTCCTTAAAAAACATTGGCTTTGTCCTATAATTTTTGACTCAGATAGATCAAAGATACCCCTCTGTCCCCTTGGCCCTTGTTGAGAAAAAGTTACCTGCTCCAAAAGACAATTTATATGAAATTTCTAGTTGTTACTAAATCATGCTTATTTACTTAAAAAAAAACCTCGAACACTGACAAGCATTACAAATCCCATAAAGCTCAACAAAATTTATAATCTAGTCTATAATGGGACAATGTAAACAATTCTTCTTCTTAATAATTGATATGTTTTATTGGTTTATCCACTTCAATGATTAACACGAAATTAAAGCAAAATATGAGATTACTAATTATATCGCCTTCCACATTAGTTTAAGTGTGATTGGTTTCTTCTATATATAAGAATCGGACATTTTTAACTTGATTTCTATAACAGAATTGCTACACTAGTATGAGTTTGATATAAATAATTCAATCTATTAATTATGGGACTCATCTACTTCCTAATCAAGCTCACGCGTTCAATAATATATTGAACTCAATAATTAGAATCACTCTCATAAAAATCAAATTCTCAAACCGACCATAAGGGTATGGATTCTTTTAAAATTAGAATCAAAATTAATTTTTATTAGGCTATTGGGAAAGCCTAAGGGGCAAATAAAATAAATATATAATTCAGTTCAACATATATGGGGTCATTTTGTCAAAGTATTGTGTTGGACATAGGCTTGTTATTATGCATGAGAGATAGTTAAATTCTTTAGATAACCTTAATTAGTTGTCCCACTTTGTCTTCTGGGATACACCCTCATACCCGTGATACTGTCACAAACACAAGATGTTGGTTCTTCATCATATATATACATATCACCAACTATAATTTTGGTTCAGTAATATTTTGTATTAATTTGCCTCCCCTCGTTGAAACCCATCTGATTAATAGAGTTGCCTTTGTGAGTTTATGACTCGTACTTAATTATTGTCTGGAAATAGCTGATCAAAACAAAAGGATGACATATCCTCGAATAATATTTAGGGAACTTTAACGAAAAGCACCCGGTACTGTTCACTTTAACGAAAAACCACATTTTTACACTAAAAAGTCAATCCTGGTACTATTCACTTTACCCTTTATTTTGTCCTTATCATTAAAACTCAAAGTTTTCAAGCCATTTTCATTAGTTTTCCTTTAATATTTATTATAAAAATATGAGTTAATTGTCGATCTACTGTGCAGTAGTAGAGAGTGCTGTAGCATCAATTTAGTCCTTACAAGTCAGCAGAATATAAAGACGTAAGACGGTTTGCCCAAAAAAAAAAAAAGACGTAAGACGTTTGAGAAAGTAACACTTTATATGCTTTATGCAGGTAATCAGCAGCTGAAGGGCAATTCAAATTTGACCCCTGTATTTGATTGATTTATTCAATGAATTTGTGACTGAGAATGATCAACCTCTTTTGGATCAAGTTGGCAAATCCGCTGATTGGTTTTCGTCTGGTACTCGACAAGGTGAATATTCATATCAAAAGGCTAACTTATTTTGTTTCAGAAAAATACTTTATTTGTGATTGTTGGACCTGAAGCGTGAATAGTCTATCTGATATAATATTTTAAAATGAGCAGTAAACAATATATGCAGTCTTCAGTGCAGAATATTACTCTCGACATAACTGTGCATGTAAAAAGAAGTATCCTCTGCAAGTGAGCCCTCTATCACAGTGAGGGAAATAAGTGTTACCTTTGCATCATGGTGTGAGTTCAAATCTCATCGGCTCGTTAATCTAACAAATTTATCGGTTAACAAAAAAAAAGAAGAGAAATATCCTCTTATTTTCTAATGGAAAGCACTATTACCACATCATTTTTTATTTCTCATACATCTTTGTTAATTATTTTTTATTAACTATTTTAAAAAAAATTAAGAAAAATATGTAAATAGTAAAAATGAATGTGTCCAAAAACAACCATCCTTTCTTTATATGTATTAGGAATTTAGGAGTCATGTGTTTTTCACATGAGAGAGAGGATATTCAGAGAGAGAAAAAGTTTTGTTATATGACATATACAATTACTTAAAAAGGAAAGGTAATTAATTAAGATTCCACGTAAGCATGGAGGTAATTATCAAAGTGCGCAAATTAAGAATGATTTTCTCAGTCTGCCGAAAACGAAAGAGAAAAGAAGGATGATTACCAACTTTGACGAGTTGACTGCTCCAGACATGAATGTGCATTAACATGTACACTCGAAAAATCAAGCAATGTTAGGCACTCTTAAGTTTGAACCCTTATTATTAATAATCCAGTCAAACCAGCCGAGTTATTCTGTACATACCATGAAACTGTTGTGAAGGCTTGCTTATCTTAATAATTGAAAAGTTCCAACTTGATCATAAGAGGAAATTAGAGCAGTGGTTCTTAATTTTAGTTTGATTGGAACTAAACTAAAAATTGTGAGCTGGACCTTGAACTTTAATTTTAGGTTGAAGTGTTACTCAAAAAAAAAAAAAAAACCATTACTCCACATTATGATAAGTTCATGGACCAATACACCAATTTTCTTCAGAAGATAAATACGATAAGCTAGAGATAATACGAAATGAGTTTGATGAGATCATAAGTTTTATGACACATGTTTATTTAATTACTATATACTAGAAATAGGAATTAGAATTATGTTAATTCATGATTTCTGAGATGTTCCTCTCACATATGTAATACTTAAAAAACAGAGAATAATTAATTAGGTGGAATAGTGGATTTCTTACCACTCTTTCTTTCCCTAATAACGATTTCTTACAAGTGACTCTTTACCATAGTGGTGAATAAATGTTAAACTCATATATGATGGCGTGGGTTCAAATTTCATCGATGACTAATTTAACATTTAATTTAATAAAATCTATCGTTTGACCAAAATAAAAAAAAATAAAAACGATTTCTCATATTCATAACTTCTCTCTATATTTTTAAGTCGGTAAACATGCCAAAAGTTATACCTTAATAATTAGGTAATCTGAGAATATCAAAACTGGGTGCATGGCAATTACCTGCAAATAACTGCCTTCCACAAACTAATCAACACTCTTAAGCCAACACGTGTTCAGAACAATTGATATTCATGGACATGGATCCTCTCGGGATCCAATTATCCTAATTCCCCTAGTCAAATCATCCGGATCATTGAAATTTGATCCAATAGCTACAAACAGAGACCAATTTTAAAAGTTATAATAATTTAAGTCGTTAAATCAAATTTTAATGATCCGGATGATATGACTAGGTGGATTAGGACAACTATATCCGGAAAGGATCCATGTTTGAGATTCATAGATATGTACTAGAACAACCAATGAGAGTGCACCACATCATCACAAGTGATGCCATAGTGGCAAACAACGAGTAGGCCACGCCCATATATGCATATCCAAATCCTAGATGCATATAAGGTATTTCTCCCAATTCGTTCCTTTCCAAGAGTTAAACCACTCCCTTCTTCTTAAACCTGTAATGTACAGTGACACTGTCACTTGTAATAAAAAATCCTTTAAAAATTAAAAAGAAGAAAAGATCCATAATATTTATATACGCGACCTTCCTCGATTTTGCCTCCTCTCAGCTGAGCAGAAGTGAACAAAATAGAGCACAAGGTGTGCAGCTAACATATTTGAAAACCTTTACAATCGTGTCCCCCTTTAATCACTAATACAATGGATCAGGATCCTCCTGACCCCTAAAAAGTGAGTTTGTTGAACAGGTAATTGTGATCGTTAAAATTTGATCTAACGGCTACAATAATTATAATTTTTAGAAGATCTCATATTCGTAACCATTGGATCAAATTTCAACAGCTACGATTGCATGCTAAACAAGTTCAGTTTTTAAGAGTCAGGAGAGGATCCTGATCCTAATACAATACCCCATCGTGGGTCCCCCAACGCATTCTCTTGAAAAAAAATTGAGAAAATTAATCAAACACTACCTTCCTTCCTCCACTTGTATATATTTGCCACAAGCAATCACTCCTCTCAGTCTTAACAATCAGCTCTGCTTTCTCTCTCCCTCACCCTCTCCCTCTCTCAAGACTTCCCACAACTTCTTGATTTCTCACCCAACTTCCCACCACATTCTCCAAATCTTTCTCCAAATTTAGCATATCCCAAATTTGTACCCCATTCAATACTTTTACAAATTGTGTCACGTTAATTTGTTCGTACCTAACTAGCTGTTTGGATATCACTTCCTTTTCATTTTATTATGGGTACTGATCATGCGTACCCTTCAACCAATGTGGAGGACTCTCTACACCGAGTAGAGATCCCACCACCTCAACCTTTCATCAAAACATTGAAGTCTTCTCTCAAGGAGACCTTCTTTCCTGATGACCCTTTGAGGCCGTTTAAGAACCAACCTACTTCAAGAAAATTCATTCTTGGCTTCCAGTACTTCTTTCCAATCCTCGAATGGGCGCCTCGCTACACGCTCGAGTTCTTGAAATCAGATCTCAATTCCGGCATCACCATCGCTAGCCTGGCGATCCCACAGGGGATTAGCTATGCCAAGCTTGCTAACTTGCCACCAATTCTTGGCCTATGTAAGTAGCCTTTATAACAAAATTAGTCATTTTCTTCCTTCAAGTTATTCATGCTCCCAGTTTGTCGTTCTGCACTCAGAACTAAATACTGTCGGAATGATTTTATCCTTTTTTTCTCTAATTTTAACGTGACTGGATTAATAACAATTATAGGTCACATGTGTCATGTGCGAGTTGGGTTGTGATAGATTATTGAACTTTATTTGTTTATTAATTAAAATAATTACTAATGCAGATTCAAGCTTTGTTCCACCATTGATTTATGCCATGATGGGGAGCTCAAGAGATATGGCTGTGGGGACTGTGGCTGTGGCCTCACTTCTCACAGCTTCAATGCTGGGGGCTGAGGTCAATGCTGCAGAAAATCCTACCCTTTATCTTCATCTTGCCTTCACCGCAACCTTCTTTGCCGGAGTTTTCCAAGCTTCCTTGGGTTTGTTGAGGTTAGCAATTACTAATGATTCTTTTGTATTACGGTCTAATGATATTCCTCTTGCCGTCCTCTTGCTGTCGCTTGTAAGTGAGCGGTCTTAGGTTCAATTACCGCCGAAGGAGAATTCGAAACACATTATTACTAGTACATTGTGAGGTTATTTTTTTTTGTGTGAGTATATTGATATTTTTACATTAGGGGGGGAGCTCGACTAAGTCATACAATGAACAACCTAATTTGGTATCGAATTCCCTATCAACGATATTTGAATCTAAAACCTCTCACTTCTAAGCGAAGAGGAATACCACCAGATCGTAGTACTGAGTGGCTAGAAGCAAACTTGTTAACTTTCATAAAAAGACAGAATAACATATGATTAATTGTAGTGGAACAACAAGACAATCTCAAATTGTATTTGTTTTCTGGTTTTTTTGTCTTTTAGGAGAAATAAGTTTGTCCTAGTTCAATATAGACTAATGAGATTCGATCAGAGTAACGCTCATTTTTGTAACGGATTGTATTCAAGATCCTGCATAGAGAGTGATCGATCACTGCCAGCTTATATAGATTGGAAAAATTAAAAAAAAACAAGATAAGGATAGAAAGAAGATAAGAATTATAATCCGAATTTATTTTTCTGTTTTTTGTGTATTTATATATATATATATATTTTTTTTTTTTAATTTAGATTGATACATAATTTGATTCGACTGGATTATCGCAGGCTAGGGTTTATTGTGGATTTTTTATCACATGCAACGATAGTAGGGTTTATGGCGGGGGCAGCGACAGTGGTTTGCCTGCAACAGCTAAAAGGAATTCTAGGGCTTGACCATTTCACCCGTGGGACCGATTTAGTGTCAGTTATGCGCTCTGTTTTCAGCCAAACACATGAGGTTTGTTGTCCCTTCCCTGCACTTTTCTACCCACACAAACAAGCCAATATCACAATTTTATAAACCTCAAACACTCACTGATTCGTTTCTACATGTTTAATTCAATTAATGGAAAAAGATGAGTGGAAATTAATGAATCTTAACGCGAACATGAGTGGAAATTAATGAATCTTAACGCTAAGGTTCTATATAATACTGTTTTTAAAGTCATATGTGATATATCTTGGCACATATGACTAATTATATATGACTTAGACATTTATTGTGAAGATAATATTATTTGTATATACTCACGAGAAAATGTTATTAAGGAATTTAACTCTTTTTTGCGTCAACATAAGATGAGATCGATTCTTGACCTAGCTCGAGTGGCCATGTTGAGGAAAAAAGTGAAAAAGTTCAGGGGATTTTTCTAAAGTTTAAAGTGTTTTTATTTCAAAAGGCATATGATGTGTTGAAATAACAATAGGCATAGAAGAATTTGAGCAAGAAAGTTTGCATCTTTGGTTTTTTAATTGGATATATAATTCTATTTCTATCTAACAATGATTGATGGTTGTTGCAGTGGAGATGGGAAAGCGGAGTTTTGGGATGTTTATTTCTTTTCTTCCTCCTCACCACAAAATATTTTGTAAGTGAATCGAACCGACCATATCTTAATTTCTTGTTTATTAATTTCATATACTTATTTTGTTTTATACATCAGATGCTTATTCTTTATATCTGTCATGTTTTAATTAACCTTGATAGAAAATTAAGCTCTCCTGTCACGCAATTATATGCCTGCTGGACCAGAAAATTAAATAACATAAAATATTGAATGTTAAAAAAGAAGGTATAATTCGATTGGATTAAGTGGGGAATTACTTAAATAATTTAATTATAGAAAAGTATCACTGGATGGGATGCATATGTCCTAATCAAAACACTTCTTGAAACTGCTTTGTATCTCACTTTTTCATGGTTTGGAATCGACTTTTAGGTATATATAAATTTTCTTCTTCAAAATTCTCCTTTTTTCAACCCTAACCTGCTCCCACTTTCAACATCAAGTAAAAAAACTTCCAAAGATGATGACCCCGGCCCATCTTCATCTGCATGCACCTTGTTAAAGTAATACTAGGATTAATTAAATAATAACAAATTTTAATTAATCCATGTGAACTTTTAAAATAACATATATACTAATTAACCATTATCTGGACTCTTTCTCTGGCTTTGTCATTAGAATCATTGCTCTAGTTTTGTTTATGATGTAACTTGTAAGCGGGAAGAAAAGTGAAATTTTAAATTAATCCTAATGTGCTCATATAGTTTATTTGTCTTTATATGTTGGACAACATGATAATGCAGAGCAAGAAGAAACCTAAGCTCTTTTGGATCTCAGCCCTGGCACCTTTGACGTCAATAGTTTTGGGAAGCGTTCTGGTTTATCTCACCCATGCTGAGAAACACGGCGTTCAAGTGGTGAGCTCTCACATCAAACTAAAGTAATCTATCCTCCCAATAAAAAAACTTTCATAGGATAGTGTTATGTGTCAGTCTCTTTTGAGACCTAGTTAAAACGGTCAAAGACACAAAGAGCTCATGAGAGTTGAGACAGTCCCATATATATTTTGCTCCTCTTTCGCCCTAAGATTCTTCGGTGTATATAGTTGTGTGTCTACATCTCACATTATGAAAATCACATACACATGAAGATATACATGGAAAATCATCTCTCTCATGCACAAGATTTTATCATGACATCATGTGTATACGCTCGTACATATATTTGTCTATGTCTCACATGACGAGAATTGCAAACACTCAAACACATACGTGGAGTCCGTGATCACTACCTAGAGTGGCTTGATGTGCAGATGACATTAGGAACAGTTTGAACCACCATAAACAAATACAAAGTAGGTCTACCTCCCCAACCCATGTGTTAAAAGCCCTTCACAAATTTTAATCTTGGGCCAAACCAAAAAATGATTGTTCAAACACTGTATTGTCTTCAGTATTTGACTCCCCACAAACAATAGCATTGGGTGGTGACTCGGTGGACCCTTAACTTTGCCCCATCTCCCATGTCATTATGTGACAGTTTTGGTTGCTAGGTCATGGTCAATAGACTCAACACCTTTTCCTTTTCATTTCTTTTGGAATTTAAAAGTAAAATAAATATTCCTTTTTGTTTTTTACACAATGAAAAAAGGTTTCTAATTAATGCCTGCATTTTCTGGTGAATATATTCAGATAGGAAAGCTGAAGAAGGGGATTAATCCATTGTCGTTTCGAGACCTTGTATTTGTGTCTCCTTATCTCACAACAGCTTTTAAAACTGGCATTATCACGGGCATCATAGCTCTGGCTGTAAGTATATATATCTTAATTAAATCCTTGATTACTGTACTAATTATTGGTTAACACGACTGATCACCATAATTAATTAATAGCTTAAAGTAATTAATAAATTGATTATGGAAATTTTTATGATAATTATGTACAGGAAGGAATAGCTGTTGGGAGAAGCTTTTCCATGTTCAAGAATTACCACATTGATGGGAACAAAGAGATGATTGCCATTGGGATGATGAACGTTGTTGGTTCTTGCACTTCTTGCTACCTCACTACAGGTATTAATTACTTAATTAGTGTAGTCTCCTGAGATTGTTATGGTTGAAGAGAAACACTTCTAGAATCATGCATGTATACTAGTATAGAAAAAAACGATCATGTATCAACTATTAACATCAAACATCATAATAATTGAGTATAATAACAATTGAGTCCAATGTTTTTTTTTTTTTTTTTACTTAAACCGGCGTTTGAAATGTTTTTACAATGAAATTGTGATTAATATTTGTGAAGAGCCCTTTAATTAAATTCATATGCTTAATTATCTCCTCTCATTAATCACATGAAATTTCTTCAATAATTTTCAGGGCCATTTTCCAGATCAGCAGTGAACTACAATGCAGGATGCAAGACGGCAATGTCAAACGTTATCATGGCAATTGCAGTGATGTTCACATTGTTGTTCCTCACACCATTGTTCCACTACACTCCCCTTGTTGTGTTGTCTGCCATCATAATCACCGCCATGCTCGGCCTTATAGATTATGAAGCCGCAATCCACCTCTGGAAGGTTGACAAGTTTGACTTCGTCATCTGCATGAGTGCGTACATTGGCGTCGTTTTTGCCAGCGTTGAAATCGGCCTAGTCGTAGCGGTTCGTATTAATATCTGTCACACTGAAATTACACTGTGCTAATGAAAAATTATTGTGTCACGGTAACAACAGGTCAATAATTTACGATGGTTTGACTTCTTTATGCAGGTAGCAATATCTGTGATCAGGGTGCTTTTGTTTGTGGCAAGGCCTAGGACTTTTATTCTTGGAAACCTTCCGAATTCCATGGATTACAGAAATGTTGACCAGTACCAAAGTGCAAGCAATATTCCTGGAATTCTGATACTTGAGATTGATGCTCCCATTTACTTTGCAAATACCAACTACTTAAGAGAAAGGTACTTAAAATTTACAACTGAAAAGTAACAGTGTTACATGTAATTAATAGGAAATTAAAGCTTGATGTTGGCCTAAACTGCTATATATTTTCAGGATTGCAAGGTGGATTAATGACGAGGAAGATAGGATAAAATCTGCAGGAGAAAGTAGCTTACAATATGTGATATTGGATATGAGTGGTAAGGGAAATTATTAAAAAATAATCATGTATTAATCAAATCCCTTAAAGAAAATAATGGTAAATTATTCAATTAGTGGTACTAATCACCCGATAATTGATTCCTTGCAGCGGTTGCTAACATAGACACAAGTGGAATTAGCATGTTTGAAGAAGTTAAGAAGCTAATTGATAGAAGGGGACTTCAAGTATAGTCTATACTCTCTTATCGTGACTTTTTATTAAATTGTCAATAATAGTTTTAGTATACAAAGAACACTAAATCTGACACCATGTTTCGTTTTATGCAATTAGCTTGTATTGGCGAACCCCGGAGGTGAGGTGATGAAGAAGATGAACAAGTCGGAGTTGATCGAGAAAATAGGTCAGCAATGGATTTATCTCACAGTTGCAGAGGCAGTTGCAGCATGCAATTTCATGCTTCACACCACCAAACCCGACCCAATCAAAGATCAAGAACCCGGCGTATGGAATAATGTCTGAGTTGCATGCTAGCTCAATTACCTTGTCTATGTATGTACCAGTGTAAATTTTTGTATCACATAAAGCAATGTGAAGTGTACGTAAAATATGATGAGGACACATTGAAATGAGAAATTAGTCTTATCGTTTTATGTTCTTGGTTGCTTAATTAGTGGGAAGTTGGAAGCGTTAATTTTTTTCCCTCTCTCGTCCTTAATATTGTAAATCTCATAACGAAACAAAACTTTACATAGATTCATTTTTGTGAGCCTGAATTATTAAGAATAGTCATTTATATGTTATTGTTGTCCCTTCGGGAGCATCTGATAAAACTGGAACAACATTTACACGTGATTGTTAAAATAGGTCTAACGATTATGATTTCATCCAAGTATTGGAACCAAATGAATTTTGGGCTCTTGATTTTGGATTAGCTAGCAAGGAAGCCTAAGAGTCCAACGGCTTGTTTTCCTTTTAAATACAAAATAGGTTAGGTGATGTAAGGCTTAGATTGAATTAACAGCTGTTAGTGTTTTGGACAGCTCGTTGATAAGCTTGTCCTACACCAATGGAGGAATCCAATGTGAATGAATCAATGAAATCATCACTGCAGTAGCAGCAACGCTGAAAATTCTGTGTGTTTTGTCAATTTCTTCTTGATAAAACCAACAATTTCTTCACTGAACTTAACATTAAGTTTTTAAATGACTGAAAGCGCTTTTAGATAAAATATTTTTGAAACTAATACTTAGTAAAAATGTAAGTTAATCATGGAAAAACACTTGAAGTTCTTCTTGCAAAAAACACTTCAAGTGTTTTTGAAACCCTTTTTTTTTTTCTTCTCTAAAAGCTTTTTCAGGAATTCGAAAACACTACTTCCTAAATGAGTCCCTACTTTCATATCAAATCAACCCTCAAGTTACAAGTAAAGAAATCAACATTATCCCTTGATTGTAGGATTATCATTGTGATGAGTTTTGATTGATTGAGCTAGACTTAAAGAATATTATCTCCTTAATGGCAATATGGCATTAATAATTGTTGGAACGAAGAAGTAAGACCCTTCCTATAATCTCTCTCTCTCTCTCTCTCTCTCTCTCTCTCTACCTTCACATAATATCTATAACAATAAGTCTAATCTATAACACAAAGTGCTACAGGTGTTTTCAGGATTATAAGGTGGATTAACGACGAGGAAGATAGGATAAAATCTAAACAGGGAAAAGTAGCTTACTATATGTTTATGTTATATTGGTAATAAATAATAGCAGCGCACTAATTAATTCCTCAAAGAAAATTTTGGGACACCATCTAATGAGCAGTATTAATCACCCTCATATTGATGGATTTGGATCCCTTCCGGATCCAAATGTGGGAATCCTAGGTATCTTCATATCCTAACTGTTTATCGTACATTATGTTGTCAGAAATTATTATAAATTTTTTAATTTAAAATTAAACATAAATAGTACTTAACGAAAACTAATTACACGATATATAATAAATGATCATGATGTAAGAATCCCTGGAAAAAGGATCCGGAGAGGATCCTCATCCAAAATTGATCCCTTTGCACCTGTTCGAAACAGAGACACAAGTGGAATAAGCATATTTGAAGAGGTGAGCTCAAGGTACAATCTATAGTATTTTTAACTTATCGTGTCATGTTTGGAGTGTCATGACTCTTTACTGTTTAAATATACAAATAAAGCTAGCTCTGACACCTTGTTCTGATTCTGTATATGTTTTTATTATTTATATGCTATATTAATTCTTAACTTTCAGACGTCTAATTTACACTCTCAACAAAAAATAAAGAAAAACTATTAAGCTCAATTACAACTTTACAAGAATGTTGCATGATTCTAAGATCATCACATTGTTGCATAGCTTCAAAATTATTCTAATCACATTGTTGCCAAGCTAGCTTAAAAAAAAATTCGGATTCTCATCGGATCCTCTTTGTGAGGATTCTGGAGATTCGTCAATCTTATCTGTTCATTGTACATCGTGGGATCAGAAATTACCTTAAATATTTTTATTTAAAATTATATACAAACAGTACTTGACAAAAACTGACCGCATGATATATGATGTAAAATGAACATATAGGATCTTGTTGGCTACATAAATAGATTATTATTAAGAAAAACTAATAAAAAAGGCTTGAAAACTTTGAGTTTTAACGATAAAGACAAAATAAAGGGTAAAATAAATAGTATCAGTAATGACTTTTTAGTATAAAAATATGATTTTTCGTTAAAATGAACAATACTGAAAACTTTTCGTTAAAATTCCCTTGTTATTATGCTTACAAAGTAAAAAACGTTTCCTCAAAAAACGAAAAAAAGGAAAAAAGAAAACCGTGTAATCAAAATAGTAGTTGATGAAACAGATACATAATCAATGGATAAAATAGAGAGTAACTGATATTCAGTTTAGCAGCGCCGTTTGAGTAGTCCAGTATGTCGTTATATGGGTATGGCAAGGCATCAGTCTCTGGTGGAGTTGGCGAAGGTGGCGGAGCAATAGAGGGAGCATCGGGCGTCTCAGGGCTATCTGCAGCCGGCTGCAGTGAGCTAGCAATCGGACGATCAGCGGGCGTCACTGGTGTATCCGTGGCCGGAGTAGATGGCGTAACCATGGAGGGTGCATCGGGTGTCTCGGCGGCCGGCTGCGGTGGGCTAGAAATCAAAGGATCAGCGGGCGTCACTGGTGTATCTGCGGCGGGCGCGGGTGGCGTTACGATGGAGGGTGTGGCTGGCGTCACTGGTGTAATCGTGACGGCCGGGGGTGTCGTAGCAATGGAGCGCGTGGCGGGTATTATTTGTGTACCACTGATGGGGGGCGTCGAAATAATTGGCATGAGCGGCAAAGTTGGCATGGCAACGGGCGTGGTTTTGGCCGATGATGCAGTTGCTACTGGGGTGGGTCGGCTGTGACCAATATAAAAAAACTGAGATGAAGCGAGGCACAAAATCAAAAAGCTAACAAGTATGTTCTTGTTCGCCATCTCTCTCTGTCTCTCTCTCCTCTCTCACTTTCTCTCTCTAGATAGAAGATCACAATGCAAGTGAGTAATAGTATGGTAGCATGCAAGCAGAGGGAGGCGGGGCAGCATTATATACTAGTAAACTAAACGTACCTTTTTTCAGGCTGCCATGTTCCCCATTTACAATTGGTTTTTGCATTCCAATTGGATTTACGTTTATCTTGACTTTTCCAATTGTCGCTTGGAACTATGCAGATGTTGCAGGAAGGAAACCAAATTAACTGGTAGGGTTTCTGCTTCTAAGTACGGTTCAAACTTTTCCTACTCTAAACTAGGAAACACATGAAATCGTTACCTTTTTTGGTACGTATGTTTCTTCGTTCCTAACGACAATTGGTTTAGGTTTATTTTGGTGGTCTGGCTAGGAAACGTTACTTTCTTTTAAATTGGACTTGTAACCTAACCTATGTTTAATGCGCTAAAATGTCACATGGATTGGATTTGGGTCGAGGATGTGAGTGCGAAATAAGACAGGAATCATACCTCTCGCTCGAGGTGGGTTACAAAGCCAGTCGAGCTTCTCTCTTGTTCGAGCTCTCTGCGCTTCCCTTCCACTGATTTCATCATCAGCCTCTCCTCTTTTCTGCAATTTCCTCTTCTTTGTTCAGGGTAATTCCCTCTTCTCCCTCCTTACTTCGAATTTGAAACATGGGTACTTTGATTTTTCTGAATCTACGATTTTAACTGAAAATTTGGTCTAAAGTTAGCCTTAACTGATTATTTACTTAGAAAATTTAAGAAAATCGAGGAAAAAACATGGATTAAGTACATTGCAATCCATCAATAGTGTTGCACTAAACAATGAACTAGAAATCAAAGCCTAGCCAATTCATGCCGATGAAGCCTCGATAATACACTGTATTTTTCACACCAAAATTTTGGGTTAGAAATTTATTGGGCTTGTTTTTAAGCTTTAACCCAAGACCAACCAAATATCCAAATTTCATCCACAGTCAAAGCAGCCCACAGCCATTTGGTCACCAACAGTCGTATCCGTTCTGTTCCTACCGAGATGTGGAGAAACACGACCAGCTCGAAATCGGTTCAGTCATCAAATGTCGGAAACGCATGTGTTGGAGATGAAGAAAACAGTTCAAATTTATTAACTTTCAATCACTTTCCTCCCATCCAAACACTTCTTTTCTGAGACCATCAGAGCTTTACCTTTCATGGCGCCTCCGAAGAAATCAAGGAAAAGCAAGAAAGACAGGAAATTGAGGAAAAGCAAGAGCGTGGTGGTTCCGGTTGAGGCAAAAGCCGTGGATTCGGATTGGTGGGATAGTTTCTGGCACAAGAATTCTTCAACCCAAGCAGGTTTTAGTTTTCACTGAGCTCACTCACTCTTCAGTTACTCTCTTAATTTCCTGCTTTTTTTTACTGGAAAATGCTGCATTCCAAGAGAAATAGTGATGTGGGTTTTATTCAAAATTTGTTCTAGAATGTTAAAGTCCGCAAATTTATTCATAATTACAGCTCAAAATCTGTAAAACGTGGTTTTCAAGTTAGCTGGCATCATGAATTTGATCACTGAAATGGTAAGAATTCAGACCAGCGCCGGAAAATGCACCTGGTTATGCAGATGTGGGTTAGGCCAATTGTCTTCGGATTCCCCTCCCGTAAATTAGAGTAGTTTTTGTTTATACGAGTGATATTCTACTTTATAGTTTATACTAATCTAAGATGTGTGGAAGGGGATTCGAACTTGGATGCATGAGGGGAGCATATTCCGCCCTAGCCCACATCTGCGTAAATTTAGACTAGTTTAGAATATATATCGTCATGTCAAAGAATGCAAGTGGTTGTGGTAATTTCTGGTGGTCGTTACAAGAAAACTAGTTCCTCTTAGTGTAAAAATATCAATGTACTAAAAAAAATTAAAAAACAAAACCATTCTTAAAGGGCTTTAGCCCACTTATGCGTAAATTAGAGTGGTTTAGAATATATATCGACTTGTCAAAAAATGCAAGTGTGGTAAATTTCTGGTGGTCGTTACAAGAGAACTAGCTATTGAATAATAGAGATTTTGGTTTGGAATCTGGAGTGGGGAAATTGTTGATTTCTATTTTAGTAAAGATTTTTAAGAGTTGATTTGTGTTTTGAAGTGTCCGTGATAACAACTTCATTCTGCATATCCGATGAATTCACGTGTGTAGGTTCTTCAGTATCCAATGATGAGGAGGAAGGATTTAAGTTTTTCTTTAGGGTCTCGAAAAAGACTTTCGATTACATTTGTTCACTTGTAAGAGAAGACCTGGTGTCGAGGCCGCCATCAGGGCTCATCAACATAGAAGGAAGGCTTCTCAGTGTTGAGAAACAGGTTGCAATTGCCATGAGAAGGTTGGCATCCGGGGAGTCTCAAGTCTCAGTGGGGGCTGCATTTGGGGTCGGCCAGTCCACAGTTTCTCAGGTGACTTGGAGATTCATTGAAGCATTGGAAGAGCGCGCAAAGCACCACCTCAAGTGGCCTGATTCGAATAGAATGGAAGAGATTAAGTCTGAATTTGAAGCATCCTTTGGATTGCCGAATTGCTGTGGAGCCATAGATGGTACTCACATCATTATGACCCTACCTACGGTTCAAACATCAGATGATTGGTGTGACTCAGAGGAGAACTACAGCATGCTCTTGCAGGGAATTGTTGACCATGAGATGAGATTTCTTGATATTGTGACTGGTTGGCCTGGGGGCATGACTGCTTCTAGACTGTTGAAGTGTTCGGGGTTTTACAAGCTCTGTGAAGGCGGACAGCGTTTGAATGGAGATGTTAGAAGTTTATCTGGAGGAGTAGAGATTAGAGAGTACTTAGTTGGTGGGGCTGGCTATCCTCTGCTTCCTTGGCTGATAACTCCTTTTGAAGGCAATGGCCTTCCGCCTTCCGTTTCTCCTTTTAACGCCATTCATGAGGCTGCAAGGTCGCTGGCTGTAAGAGCATTCTTGCAGTTGAAGGGCACTTGGAGAATCCTCAGCAAGGTTATGTGGAGACCTGACAAACGTAAACTTCCAAGCATTATCTTGGTATGTTGTTTGCTTCACAATATAATCATCGACAGTGGAGATATATTGGACCCGGATGTTGCTTTATCCGGCCATCATGATTCAGGATATGGAGAACAGTGCTGTAAGCAAGTTGATCCACTGGGGAGGACATTGAGGGATAACTTGATCAAACACCGGGAGCACGGCAAGCAGACTGCTACACCAATGTGAATCTTGCTCTACCAAGTCTGGTCTAGACGAGTTCAAGTTGGAAGCTTATGGCCTCCATCGAACAGGTGCTGCCCGTAGGTACCTTTCGAGGAGAAACTAAAGTGTTTAGGCTTAAAGAATCTGTTCTTGCCTGGTTTTTCAGTGTCATTGGTTGTCAGGAAAAGCTTGTTTCTGCCGTCACTTTGATCCTTTTTCCTTGAGCATGTATTAGGGTTTGTACTATAGACTGCGAGTAACATGTAGAGCCGCAGAAAAAACTCGAGTGAAACCCAGCATATATCCCTCTCACCCAGTGGTGTAACAATTCACGTGACGAGTGGTACAAGGCGAGGGGGATAATCTCCCAGTTAAATGTAAGGATCTCGCCGGATTCTGGAGAATGTTAGAATCTATACAAGAACTTGTAACGCAGAAAGAATGTATACACCGAACAACAGGATTCAATAAAAGATTTTATTTTCATACACTCTGCTAGTTCTCTTTATGTAAAAGAAGAAAGAAAAAAACATGGAAAAAAAAAAAAAAGCAAACCCCATCAGAGTGGGTTTCCTTTGAATAGAAGATGGGGCCTGAAATGTACAGCAGGATCTCAAAACTAATCCAAGACCCAATACTCTCTCTGTCTCTCTCTCTCTCTAAAATATGGCAAAACAAGTAGAGCTCTAAAAAGTTAAAAAAAACTTATGGACAATGAAGCAAAACTAGTGCCTCATCATTTTACTGTAAACTAATGAAATTTCATTGGTTTAATCTCCCTTGGTTGGGGGCTGTATGCATGCACAGAAGGGCGATTTCTTCCGTTTCCCTTGGTTGACGGGTTTTCCTACGCCATAGAGGTAGTCGCGAAGAAGAACGCTTTTCTTCCGCTCGATGATTCTAGCTGATCCTTTGCTGTCTTTTTCGCCATCAATTTTCAGAAGAAGAAACTGCAGTTTCTGAACCTGTAACTGCAACCGCCCAATGTTTTCCGACCCTCTTTTTGCTTGTTCAGAAAGTCTCCTCCTTCTCACGCTCCCACTTTCATCTGGTACTTCCCCAGAAGATCCGGCAGAGGACGGGGGATCATCTTCAACGCTCTTCATCAACATTTGATTGGCATCAAACAACTTCGTAATAGCCTCTTTGGCTTCTTCCAGCTGCCCCTTTACGCTATCAAGTTCCATATTATTGCCCTTTTTGCTCTTCTCAGTAATCTCCACCTTTGTCTTCAGGTCTTCCACAGTAATTTGAAGGTTTGTCAACTTTTGCACATCGGAATCAAGTCTTTCTAGGATGCTTCTCTTGTTCCCTTCTTGACGGGGCTGCGTAAATCTCCTAGAGAGTTCTAATTTGTTAATACCCAATTCTTTCTCAACCAATGATTCAGAAGAGGGATGTCTTTTATTGTGCTCCTTTACTGCCTCCATCTGACTGTGGTCAGTTGGTACAGCGGCTGCCTTCTGGGAGTTGCCAACTGTCAAATCAATGCTGCCATCCTGGTCACTGGTCTCCCACAACTCAAGCATCTGAGCATCAGGCTCTATGGTTTCTCTTCTGCTTATCCCATAGGATGAACACTCCGATATCTGATCAAGAACGATGTCTTTTGTCAGAACTTCATTCCCTGATCCAGATATTTCACGCTTCTTCATAGTGTCACGAACCTGATTTACAGAAACATGACCTTCCTTTTCCACCACTGCCTTTTCAATAGCTTCAAGTCTTCTTTGTAAATCCTGCAAGTCCAAAACACCATGTGATACTGTGGCTGTTTGATCTCCATCCATTTGAGGGCTTTCAGCATGCAGAAGGGCATCCTGGATAAAGTGGGATACAAATATGTTATTTCAAATGATATCCACCATTGAACTATAAAACGAAGTCATCATGTCTTAAGCCAAATAAGCTTTAGACAGAAACCGGCTTACTTTCCGTAAAACTTGCCAGAGATAAACCTTGAATGTTGATGATAAAGCATGAGTTCAAATAATGGCTCGTGACAATTGAAACTTTCAATTTCCATAGGTAATATATAAACAGACATGAAAAGTTACCTTTGATTCTTCAGTGTCAAGTTTATGAGAACCGGTGTCTGCGAGTATATGCTTCTCAAGCGATGTTATACACTCCTTCAAAGAGATGACAGCTGGAATATATGCAGCCAACT